CTATCAGAGCCGGCACCAGCGCAGCACTGATGAGGGGGCGGCTGAGGTAACGAAAGGGGGTGATGACATAGCACAAAGTAAAAAATAAAAACATATATGGCCCATTCACGTATTTGTCGGGTATTTATTAGAATACTGGGTTTACACAGATAGTGTTTTGGTCGCGAGACAGGTCAGTGGATGTTTTTTTTTTTAACCACAAGGTCTAGAGACGTGTTTTTAGAAGCTGAATTTCTTTGAACTTGAGCGCCGTGTTTTAGAATGATAGTATTATGCGCGACAAGCTGCTATAAAGACCTGAGACGAGCGCAGCATTCAAACACAAATTCAAAGATGTCCGTAACGCATTTAGTTTGAAATACAATGGAAAAGTACCACAGTGGAATGAAAAATGCGTTCTTTGTGAATGACCCTACTAAAAGATACTTAACAAATACAGATGGCAGAGTAGCTATTGAATAAAACAAAATCGCATAGGCAACAAATTCGAAAATCTGACAAAATAATAAATAGAATATAGAATAAATATAAATAATATGTCTTAGGCAGCAGCTTTACCACAAATACAGACAAGTGATACCACCACAACCACCTGAAATACTTAACTGGCTCTGCTTTACAATGAAACACAAGCTTATTGCGCCCAATTCCCTGACATAACACATTCATTGCGACCAGTGTTCGAACTATACAGTGGACTTTGGGGGAGCCCACTTGTTGTTGTTTTTATAATGGGGGGGTTCGAGCGCCACCCACAAATAGTCTATAAACAGAGCATCAGGCTGTCTTTGAGTTCACATGAACAACAGTTAAAGTTACTCGTCGTCAGACTGTGTGTATCCCCGCTCGTGATGTAGCGTGGGCAGGGAGGAACACACCGTCTGTAACGCGATCTACTTTCGCCCTTTTTTGTCTTTTGCTTAGACATTTCTTTTTTCTTTTTTTTTTTTTTGCTGGAGCTTATTTTTTCAGACAACAATAAATAAGACTCACAGAACATAAATCGTGACCGACACACACAGAGAGCTTCGCTGAATGACAGAAAGCTAGCGCCGGCGGCACCTCATGTGCTTTTAAAGCTTCCTGGTCATGACGTCACCCGCCGCGCACGTCTCGCCCATCGTTCGACTGATTACACATATGATTCAGAGCTTGGTATCGCTGAAGGCGTTCCCCTAGCATTTTCCGACGCAGCTCGAGTTCCCGAAGGGGAACTGCAAATAACATGCCTTACCTTAACACAGAATCGACCACAGAGTCCAACGTTTATATTTTTTCTACGAATCTTTGAGTTAACATGTACTAAACATGAGTGGAATTTGCAACGCAGCGCCCCCTCACCTCGATGCTCATGACAAGAATAGCATGTGTAGTTATCTTTATTGAAGTGAATTAGGTTTAAATCGCCGTCATGCATGAATGAATGATATTATTGCAATTTTACACATAATAACCCACGATGATCACATTACACAAAACTGAAATTGCACGTCAAAATAACACATTGTCAATCTTTTTTGAGAATCCCAAAATTTCACAAATCACGTTTTCAAGGGAGCCCATGTCTTATTAAGGGGAGCCGAGCTCCCCCTAGCTCCCCTGTAGTTTGCACCCTGATTGCGACCTATTTAACAGATGCATTATTTTAAGTTAGAACAACTTGAACAGCAACAATCAATAACAATACAACAAAATAATCAACTAACTACGACCATCTAGCCCTTTATTAAACATTAAAGAATTATTTCATCATACCTTTAGCTTACTCAGTAGTGCTGCATTCTTAGTTGAACCGCTTGCGCGGAAAGTTTGTGTGTCAGATGTAACAATTAAAATGCGACTGTGAAATGGACTGTCCCAAATTGTTGCTAGAGCATCATATTAATGCTAGAAAGCCTATGCATTTGGCAACTGTATTTTTTTAATAAACCATGATATTTCATAAATATTATCTATTTTCACACTCATCTTGAGTGATGTATATATATATATATATATATATATATATATATATATATATATATACATACAGTATTTACTCACTTATTTTTTAAATATTTTAAATTTTATTTATACTCACATCACTGAGTATCACCCATGATATCACAACATTTTTACAGTTGTTTATGAGAAGACCATCTAAAGATTTCTGCAGTATGTCAGCTGCAAAAAAAAAGGTCTATTAAATATGTAAGATTAGGTCCACAAAGTGTCGGGAAAGTCGTTACATTATTTATTGAAGAGTCCAGTGTTGGAATTTTCTAGGCATTTTGATGTGATTAAAACATTTTGAATAAAATTCCCATTATTTTTCTACTATCTACATACTATTTAAAATGAACTGAAAAAACACCCGACATTAATCACAGTTAATTATTTTGTTGTATTAACAGCTCTTACAAATTTACGCATAAATTCACCCAAAAATTTAAATTCTAATTTACTTACCAAAACATTATTAATGTTAATGTTAGAGACTGTTAATGTGGAACATGAAGATACTTTGGGTTTTTTTTTTCTTTTCTTTTTCTTTTGGTTCCCAATGTTTTTTAAATATATTCTTTTTTTTTGTTTGTTTGTTTTTCCGAAGATAGAAAGTCATGCAGGTTTGGAACAATGCAGGAATTTTCATTTTTGGGGTATTATCATATTACCATTTTAAGTCAAAATAAATTTTTCGATTATAGATTTAATTGAAATCTTTCCAAGCTCCACTGGAACATGCTTAAGTTCCCATTGGGGGTACCGGGGCATGAGAATCAGTTATTTGGACCACCAAAATAACAACCAACAGACCAACTAAAGAGGAGCCTTTTAGTCACATTTTGGTATTATTTTTGTAATATTGATGTGACAAGGGACAATAACCACCAATACTAGAGTCTCTTAAATATGAGTTACATACCAAAGTTTAAGACTCATGTTTTTTCAAATCCCAAAATCCTTAATAATGAGCAACAGGAAGCACCTCACACACACACACACACACACAAAACAATGAGGTTGTAAAGAAAATGAAAAAACAAAAAGAAGAAAATAATATTAAAATTCTTCTATTTCAAAATGTCACGTTGCTAGTGTTACTAGCAATTTCTGAGAGAAAATTGCTTCAACATCAAATTTTTCGTAAGGCAGAAAAATCTTTTTAAAAGCTCTTGCTGAAAATGAATCATATTTACATCACTATAATATGTTCTAGTATTGTTTTGTTTGTCTGTTTTGTCCTTCTGTGCTGTTGAAAATCCAAGAGAAACTCTGTCTTTCAGAGACATTCTGTTATCATCAGCTTCAGTTCCCATTATCCCTGTCCACTTCACATGAATCATGATCTGTTATACACAGATCTGAGAGTCCTCAGAGGACAGACACAAAGTGAGTTTGAAGATTTGAGAATACATAAATCCCAATTTTTAGACAACAGCCTTTTCAGGCTCAGATTGTCATAATTTGGTGGCACAGATGCAAAAGAAAATTGTAGGAGTTTCAATTTTGGCTCAACGCAGTTGGGGGTATTGTGAAATTGGACATCAACAGATCACATAAAACATTTTCTCAGAGGAGGTGACCGTGAAAGTGTGAAAACAAATGCTACATGCTTTGTGGAGGGAGCTGTTGATCATTTGTGCCATCTTTTTTTTTTTTTTAAAGCAGACTTCCAAACAAGCCAAAAGACAAAGGATAGGTGATTTTTTTAAATAAAATGCTTCAACAATTTTTAATAATTGAATGTTAATTTGTGGATTTTGCTGTTTGTTGTTGTCCTCTACCCTGGACAAAATTGGATTTGTTACGACTGGCTGGTCTTAAAGTTAACGAAGACCAGCTTTTTTCAGTTCTTTTGATTCGCATAGAGACACTGAGACACACACAAATCCACATACACATACCGCTACAGTCTTTAATGAATGAAAAAGAAAATGAAGTTGTCTCTCATGGTGAAGGTTTCCTCTGGCTGGTACCATCTATCTTTAACCCTATAAAGTTTACTGTATCATAATTGATACACACATTTCTACAGCCTTTAAATGAACAGCATGATCAAAACTTTGCTGGAAAACCAATCTACTACATACCTTCTGTCGTCTGATTGATAGTTTATACTTTTTTTAGCAAGTAAAAAGCCTTTTATTCTAATCTAAAAACGTCCATCTTTGGGTTGTGGTTTAAATGTCTTTTTGCTGTGAAATCTTTACAGATTTTTTCTAAATTAAACGTATTAATTTTTATATTGTTTGTAATATTTCAAAATGAACATTTACTGGACTGAAGCAAATTAGGTTTACTTGATTATCCATTTTCAAATTTTGGATTATCCATCCATCAAATTTAATCAAGTATGTATCAAATATGATGCATCAGGCTTTTGGAGAACATTCATTTGATCATCTCTCAATCATCATTGTAATAAATTGCCTTGTATGTTTTGCCTTACAGAGTTCAAACTTATCTTACTAAGACATATTATTGAGCGATAGTGAGTGACAGCTGATATTTATATGCATTTTTATGTAAGTAGTCTGTTATACTGTTATAAAGATATCACTGATTTACAGTACAAGCTCTCAGAATTTCACCTTACATTTTAGACATATAAATATCAGCAACTGCACCAAATTGCATATTTTGCTCAATTTGGGACTCTGAATAAAATTAAGGCGTTTTTTTTTCCTCCTTGAGTATGAGCTCCATATTCTTACTATATGAATCATAAAAGCTTGATATATCAAAATACTGTTATTTCATATGCCAGGCTTTACAGATTTAAATAACAGCAAATTATATAAATGAGATCAATAAGGACTGTGCGAACTCAACTGCTTCATGCATCTGCATCCTTGAGCTGATTTGTTGATTGGATTAGCTGAAAAAGATTCTGTTTGGCTGTGATACATACATGTGTATCAATCAATGTGTATCAATAACCAGTGTGAGTAAATGAACACTTTTTTATCTTGTACATTGAACAACTCAAAATTTGCCTTTGTGTTGAATCCTCACAGAGCGTGAAGATCCTGACCTACAGAGAGCCTCAGAACCCCGAGTACAAGGACTTTGTGTCCAAACTGAAGACAGATGCCATGGACATGTTTAACTTCAGCGTAGAAGATTCTCCGGTAAGAGTTCATCAAACTACTACTAAACAGTGATATTAACTAACAAAAATAATTGGCCATTTGCAATACTTGTAAAAAAGAAGTACACTTTAGTATAGTTTTAAAAAGAGTACTTATTACTAAATTTTTGAGACCATCTCTTGAGACCAAACCACTGGAATGAGATTTATTTTCTGAAATTCATTCCTGGTGAGTTTTTGAAACCACATGGTTCCCATGTTGAATGAATAACAATCCACTGCACACATAAGACCCCAGTGACTTTGAAGTGTATAAAAGAATGCAAATGGTTTCTCTGGCTTCTCCAAGACGCAGCACATTTCACCTTGTCTTGATAGATTACAGCTGCACACTAACTCTCAATTCACCTTTGGGATGTTTCTCATGAAGAATTACCCCAAGGTTTAGACAATAAGAATGAATTGCGCCTGCTGATAGCATTGTTTACTTGTATGCGTTTTCTACATTGTTTTAGCCCCCAATTCACTAAAGTAATTATGTAAATCAGATACAGGCACAGACCTACATCATTAGTGTTGATTGCAATTTGCACAGGGCAATTTCTCAGCATTCAAGCAGGCTGTGAAAGATGCTGCAAACTCCAGACACCTGAATTGATTCTTTAAATGCCAAAAGTAGTGGGACTGATAGCATGCATCAGCATGTGTGCGATCCACCGGTCCAAATTTAATAAGAATGAGTGGGAAAATATATGTCCGAACAAGCAATCTCTGCTGGAGTGATGAAACAAAATGCAATGACCCACGCAGCTTTCACACCACAGACTGAGAATATAAGCTGCAACTTCAAGTGCCAAGCACAAACGGTCACCAGCATGAACCACGGAAATAAAATGTGGTTGAATCCAAAATTGTACATTATGGACGTATGTCCCATAAGACATAGTCGCAAAAGAACAAAGCAGACAGTTGTGAAACATCCAGGCCAATAGGTGTCAGTATAGAGTCCATTTGCTACTATTGAAATGAACTTGTACTACTGAAATGAATGAGACACAGTTAAATGCAAGCACTGCTACTGAATAAGGTATGTCCTCTTTTGACCCGACATGTCCTGACTGGGATTTCTAAATTGCTTAAAATGTATGGGTTTTGGTTTTGTTTTGCTATTGACGTGCTCTTTACAGTCTTCATAAATGATATACAGTATACACGTATTTGTATCGCTTTGACCGTTCTCTGTAGATCCCACCTTCTTACATGCCATGATTGGTTGATTATGTACAAAACTACTTTTAAGCCATTACCTTCAGCAATGAAGAAAACAATAGGAAAACAAAGCCAAAACCTGGACATGTTAGGCAATTTAGAAAACCTGGCCGAGACATGTCCAGGAAAAAGAGAATATATGTTCACCCTGTTACTGAATGCACCTTTAAATAAAAATCTGTTTACTAATTAAACTGAAATAATGCAATGTTAATTGCGCAAGGCATGCTTAGGAATCTGGTGCATTTTATATTAGCCCTCATTTACATAGAAATATGTAAAACAATATTTACATAAGTATTTTGCTCAGACTTCATTTAAAAATGATTGCTGCAGCCCATATCAGCCCGGTTTAGGTTTAGGCTTGCTTCAGAAGGGCTAGGGTCTGATTTATGACATCCTGTTGTCTTTGGCCTCTGTGGAATTTTTGTGACTCCTCGTGCCTCAACTCGGTTTTGACCAAATCTTAGATTGTCTGATTCGGTCTGATATCCTACATTATTATTTATATGTTTTACACCTTTTTGTCTGAAACTCGTGACTTCTTCCATTGAACACAAAAGGAGAAGTTTAGCAAAAAAGACCAAGCTGCTGTTTTCCATGCAATCTCAATTATGCCAAAATATTTTAAGTAGGGCTGTCAATTTAACAGTTGCCATTGCAATTAATTTGGTGCAATTAATAAAATTGCACCTAATTTAGAAAATGCATTTAAATGATCCATGTATTAAATTCACCCCTCCCTTCCCAGACCTGTAATGCATCTCTATATTTCATACAGTTGCTGAAAAATATGATGCATGACGACAACTGACAGAGTGATATAGCCTATTAGAATGCAGTTATATGCTTCAAAAATTCAAGATATGAGGGCAAATTTCCCCTGTATGGGTTTTTGTCTTATAATAATATCATATGAATCATAGATTAGCAATACCACAAGAGCAAGATTGACGTTTAGTTTTTGTTTAGTTTTTTTCGCTCCAAGCAATAGTGGTGTTTTGTTACTGATTGAAATTATGTTTTTGAATGAATCGTGTGAGCCAATAATTCAATGACCCATTCATAAAGCCAGTCACTTGCTTAGTTTCTGAATGAATCAGCAGTTGAACGAATCTGTTGAATGACTGACTGAATGACTCACTCATCAAGACGGTAACTTGCCTCCACGGTCCGTGTACGGTCCATGCACCTTTTGCTCATTTTGTTTTCTACTAAATAAAGAGAAATGAGAAATAGTCTGATTTTTGTTTTCTTAGTTTTGTATGAGAAACGAAAAAATGAAACTTTAGCTAGATTTTTTGTATTTTTTGATCATGGGTAAAAAATGATATTATGCTTTAATATTTGTTTCACATGAATGGGTAGCCCTGAAGCGCTCCTTTTCAACTCATGTTTCTACTGCCTGTCCCATCACACAGAAGAAGAGTTCATCTGATGTACCTTTCTGCAAATTAGTCACAATAACATTTCTTCATACGTCATACAACAAAACGTTACAAATCGCTTTTGTAAATACAACGTTACAAAATGATTTTGGTGTGCTTTCTGCCATCTCGATCTCCGTGAACTTCTTTCTGAAACGAGCCTCAAAAATGAACCAAAACTCAGTGAATACTTGCCTCACAGACATGAGAAATAAGCCTATTGAAAGCTTGAAATGTCTACTTCTAAATGAAACCATAGAAAACAAATATTTTCTGTTTAATTAATTCATATAAAACCAAGGAGAGGTACAGTTTAATGCATCAAAAAATAAATGACTGAAGATCACACACTTTCGTACTTTCAAGTCGATCTGAACACAACAAACTCACACAGGAACATGTGCCTTATTGCTAGAAAACGCATGACAAAAAAAAACAATAAATCAGCTCATGCTCATCAGCAACATGTTTGATCTCTTCTAACTGGATGAAATCATAGTATGAATCTAAAAAAAAGGAATCTATGCATAACTTGATTATACACTATTTGATTTTCTGTGAGGTCTGTCAACTCTTCCAGTCTGTAAATCGGGGCAAAAATCTGGCCAAAAGTCATGCAGTATATTCCAGCCTTTAGTAACAAACATTCCCACATGTAGATTTACCACCCTGCCTGTGTGTGAACTACAGTCAACATTGCCAAGACTCATTAGCAATGCCTGGAAAGAGTTGCAGCTATGTTTCCATAGATAACTATTAGATGAGATGTGCTGCACGCTGTATGCACAGTCAAATTATTTGCTGGAAGTCTAATAAGGTGCCTGCAACTCTTCTCACTGTTCTGTCATCTGTTGTTCTAGTCTGTTAGCCTGATGCATCCATCCATTTCCCCAGGGTAGTGAGCTCATTTGGAAGGTTCCCTCTGCCGTCAGCTCACACGTGTCTCTCTCTCCAATTAGTTCACACGTGTCTCTCTCTCCAATTAGTTGTTCCTTTCACTGCCACCATATTATTACAGCCAAACAAATGCTCTTTCTCTCTATTTCGTTGTCCGATATATATATACTGTATATATATATATATATATATATATATAATTCAATGATTATATTTTAAATAGTAATTACAAGTATTAAATGGATAAAAAATTAAAGGGGGTACATGGAGATCCCCCCAGTGGAGCGGTCAGTTGCGATGCAATTGTGTCCAAAAACCGCTTCCACCTGGCAGGGAAAACCGTGTCTCCCTTCCCGGGCTTGTAAGTACTAATCCTGCCTCTGCCCTGCACGCTATGGTATGGTGTTGCTTCAGGTCCATCAGGCTAAAGCACTGAAGTACCTGTACGAGGCTGGTCATGACCCGGCGGTTCTGAAAGAGCTACCGACGGCAACTGACCTCGCGCGTCGAGCAATGAAGGTCACTGCGCGTTCGCTGGGCCGTGTGATGTCCACGCTCATGGTCCAGGAATGCCATCTCTGACTGTGTCTGGCCGACATGAGGGATGCCGAGAAGATCAGGTTTTTAAATGCCCCCGTGTCCCAGACCACCCTTCTTGGCGACACGGTCGAGAGCTTTGCCCAGCAGTTCTCTTCTGCACAAAAGCAGAGGCCATAAAACATATCCTGCCCTGGCGGACAGCTGCTGCCTCCACCCGACCTCCGGCCGCAGCGCCTCAGTTGCTTGTCGCCAAGGGCGATCTACTGCGTCCACCCCCGCGCTACAGCAGCTGCCTCCAGCTAAGCAGCGCCGTGGAGCCGGTCGTGGCCAGGCTGCCCAGCCTGTCCAGGCCCCCGTCAAACCTGGCGGCAAGTGGAAAGTTAAGAGGCCCTGAGACAGGCAACCCAGAGATGGAGGAAGCAGCTCTTTAAGAGATAGTGATCGCACCACTCCCTCCCTCGGAGGAGAGCCGGGAGGAGAATCTTTTGTTTAGTTTTCCTTCTGTTCTGAAATTCTCGACAAAAGAGCAGTTTCCTCTATCTCTGGGTCCCATGAGGGCACGGAAAGTAGTGCAGAACCATACCACTCTCATCCTCTATCGCCAACGGGCAGCAGTGGGTGGTTCGAGAGTGCAATCAGACCTCCTTGTGCACCCTCTGCCCAACCGTGGAACCAGTTAAATGATGCACTGCACACTCAGACCCTGCTTCAGGCCTCCACTGAGCCCCCTGAGCTGGGTCCCTGTGTTCCACCTCACTGCCCCACTGCAGGGATGTCTGTGGTTCTGCTGGTCCCACTTGCACATCCCACTTGCACAGTCTCTGAGAGCCTGGTTAGCACTCCCTTACCTGTCTCACTGGCTCCTTCAGACCATAAGACTCGGCTATATGTTTCAATTCACCCAGCG